GCGCAGAGAAGGAGAGCAGACTGTCGAAGGTTACTCCGAGTATATTGGGGTTATTCACCGTCGGAATTGGTGTATCATCAACGTGAATTCCTAGCGGTAGTCTGACTTCCTTCGTCCAGGTGGTGAACAGGGTCGCAGAGGATTTTGTAGGTGAGAGGATTGGGCTCCTAGTAGTGAAGAAGCGAGAAATCTCGGAGAGATACCCGTTTACTTTCGAACACAAATAATCAATTCCACTCCCAGACGCCATTACCGAACAATCGTCGGCATAAGAGACAATCGAGACTCGCTCTGGTGGTTGAGGGAGCTTTGAAATGTAAAAGTTAAACAGTAATAGGGAAAGGACTCCACCCTGTGGAACCCCCTGTTTTATTTTTCTGAGTTTGCTCGATTTGTCTCTAAACATTACCGACGAGTGTCGACCACTCAGATAATTCGCCGACCACCGTATGAGCCTCTGTGGGAGAGAGGAGGCCTCTATGTTTTCTAGTAGCGTGGACTGGCTGACGGTGTCAAACGCCTTTGACAGGTCCAACGCTGCTAGAATAGTTCTCTCACTGGGACGGTTGCGGTTTAGGCCACTTGTTTTCTGCGTGTTTATGGCGTTAAGTGCTGTTGTTGTACTGTGCATTTTACGGAAGCCACGTTGGTGCTTCGCTGGGATCAGGTGGTTCGTAAAATGCGGAAGCAGCAAGGACTCTAGTGTCTTCGATACCGGGGAAAGGAGTGTTATCGGCCGATAAGAATCTCCCATGTTGGCAGGTTTCCCCGGTTTGAGCAGTGGGACCACTCTCCCCACCTTCCAGATGTCTGGGATGATGAGAGTGGCGATAGACAAATTGAGGACCTCCGTTAGGTACGCTACCCCCGCTGGACCCATATTTTTCAGCATCAGCATGGATATTCCGTCGGGCATGGGTCCCGAAGGCTTTCGCCTTCCCGATGGCCACCCGAACTTCACCGCAAGTGAAAGCAAGGGGGCACAGGTTGTTGGCAGTTTGTGCAGCCTTCTAGTCACTCGATGCTTGGCTTTGTCCACCGTAGGATGCAGTGTGAACTGCCGGCTAAAATAGCTCTCGCATCGCTCCGGGTCCGACGAGGAATGACCGCCGAAAGAAATGTCGACCCTGTCGTCGTGCTTCGTCAGATTGGACAGTGCCCTCAAGGTTGACCAAAGCTTACTCACACCAGAGGTGAAGTTACAGGTCTTCAGATGCTCTTCCCACTTCTTCCGCTTATGTACGTTTACTAGTTGCCGAATCTCCGCGTTGAGATCCCTGATACGGGGATCTCCGGGATCGGCCAGACGAAGGCTATCACGCTCATCGGCTAGAACAGCCGCTTCAGCAGGGAAATTTGGACGTGGGTCGGTGATACATCCTGCCGGTACGAAGCGGGCTGCAGCAGCGGTGACAGCCCTGCGGAACTTACGTTCACCAAGGTGGACGTCGGTTGGTGTGGGGAGAGCAGCGAAGGTGTTTTCAGTAAATTCCGCGAAGCCTTTCCAATCAGCTTTAGAAAAGTTGATATATGTTCGGTGCTCCGCGGAAGCAAAGTCGGTTGGTTTATCGATCGAGATGACTATGGGCAGATGGTCTGATGCCAACATCAGCATAGGTCGCCATGATATGCTGTTTATCAGACCAGCGCTGACTATTGTTATGTCTGGCGAGCTGCAGCAGCTGCTCATAATCCTGGTGGGTGCGTCGTCGTTCATTGTGCAGAATGTCGAATCGTCTACCTGCTCAGCCAAGTCAGTTCCCCTACGATCGTTTGACAGGCTTGAGTGCCAAAGATCGTGGTGCGCATTAAAGTCGCCTACTACCATACGGTTTTCACCTCTGAGGAGCGCACCTATGTCAGGGTGATATCCTGCCGGGCAGCAGGTGACAGGGGGTATATAAACGTTAAATATTTGGAGCTTAACATCGCCTGACCGGATAGCAATGTCCTGACATTCTAGGGTGGTATCCCTGCGGTCGATGTCTGCTTCGATAAGACGATACTGCCCGGTGTGGTGCGTGATGAACGCTAAGCCTTCACCATTATCCCGCTCGCGATCTCGACGGTGCACGTTGTACCCGGCACAATTCAACAGTGTTGAATTGCTGTGCAACTTCGTCTCTTGGACCGCAGCTATCAATATGCCATGCCTTCCCATGAAGACGGTTATCTCCTCGATCTTGCTCTGAAGCCCGTTACAGTTAAATTGAAGGAGCTTCATATGGTTCGGGAGACGTGTGGTGATGCGGGGTGTGACGGATATGTGTGGTCGTGCCGCAGTTGGCTGTGTGCGCTGCTGAGGTGGTTGCCGCCCTGTGGTGGTGGCGGGAGGCGTCGCAGTTGAGGTCTGCCACCGAGCAGCGCAACACGGGCTCTCGAAGTTCCTCGTCCAATCTCGCGTGGTGCGCAGACCTGAGCATGCCCTAAAGTGGCACCAGCCAAGGCAGGTGTTTCACTTGACTGATGTCACATTACGGAATATCCTGGTCTGACATACCGTGCAGATTGTAGGAGGAACCTGGAGTTGGCGGCGGCGTGTGGGTGGTGGTGCGGTTGTGTGTTCTGTGGTCTGTAGCCGTTGTGGTGTGGTCTATTGTGTTATGTTGTTGTGCTGTGGTGTTTGTGTGGGACTGCTCAGGTGGACTGGGGTTAGCCGTGGAGGCTGCTCTGTTAGAGCAGCAGGGGCCACAAAAGACGTGGTCGACTGCCGATGTGTCCGTAGTCCTGAGCAGACTCTGAGGTGACTCCACCCCTCGCGAGCATTGCGCTTGACAGAGGTGGAGTTGTGGTGTAGTCGTCTCTGGCATACACAGCAGGTGTAGGTTTCTGGCCCTGGGTTTGACTCGATGCCAGCCCTGAGTAGAAGAAAACGTATCGAATGTAGCCCTATGGACGAACAACTTCTGAGATACTTCGCCGACCTAAATGGGCCGTCGAAGTTCCTTGTCCAATCTCGCGTGGTGCGCAGACCTGAACATGCCCTAAAGTGGCACCAGCCAAGGCAGGTGTTGCACTTGACTGATGTCACGTTACGGAATATCCTGGTCTGACATACCATGCAGATTGTAGGAGGAACCAGGAGTTGTTGGCGGCGGCGTGTGGGTGGTGGTGCGGTTGTGTCTATTGTGTGTTCTGTCGTGGTTGTGGTGTTTTCTATTGTGTTGTTGTGTTGTGGTGCTGTGGTGTTTGTGTTGAGCTACTCAGGTGGAGTGGGGTTAGCCGTGAAGGCTGCTCTGTTTAAGCAGCAGGGGGCCACAAATGATGTGGTCCACTGCCGATGGTGACTCCACCCGTCGCAAGCATTGCACTTGACTGAGGTGGAGTTGTGGAGTAGTCGTCTCTGGCGTAGGATTCTGGGTTTGGCTCGATGCCAGCCGTGAGCAGAAAAATACGTAGCAAATGTAGCCCTATGGCCGAACAGCTTCTGAGATACTTCGGCGACCTAAACGGAGTTAGATCGCCGAAACAACAGCACTTGGTCGGGTAAAACCCGAGTCTCTCCGGAACGTAGAACCGCCTGTCATGGGAATGGTCTGTCCGTTGTTGTTGTTGTAGCGATTGCCAAGCCCCGCTCGGGTCGGTTCATCCGTCAACGTTGTCGTCTGTTTCAGCTAAGGGGAGACCAAGGAAGTGTGCAACTTCCACAGGGTCTGTCCATAAGGACAGGGGCGTCATCTGGGTGGGGCTCTCAGGGCATGTGAAGAGGTGCCGAGAGTCATGTGCCGACTCTCCACCACAAGGCAAGGTGGCAAGGCTCCTTGCAGTGAAGAAGCGAGAAAGTTCGGCGAGATAACCGTTTACCTTCGAGCACAAGTCATCGATTTTATTCCCAGACGCCATGATCGAACAATTTTTCAGCATAAGAGACAATATTGACACCCTCTGGTGGTTGAGGAAGCTTAGAAATGAAATAATTAAACAGTAGTGGGGACAGGACACCACCATGTGGTACCCCCTGTTTAATTTTACGTGGCTTGGTGGTTTTGTCTCTGAAAATTACTGACGAATGTCGACCACTCGGTTAATTCGCCGACCGTTTGAGTCCCTGTGGGAGAGAGGAGGCCTCTATGTCTTCTAACAGCGTTGAATGACTGATAGTGTCGAATGCCTTGGACAGGTCCAACGCTACTAGAATAGTTCTCTCACAGGGGCGGTTTCGGTTAAGGCCACGAGTTATCTGAGTGTTTATGGCGTTAAGTGCTGTTGTTGTACTATGCACTTTACGGAACCCATGCTGATGCTTCGCTGGGGTCAGGTGGTTCGTGAAATACGGGAGTAGCAAGGCCTCAAGTGTCTTCGCTACCTGGGAAAGGAGGGTTATCGGGCGATATGACTCTCCTTTGTAGGCTGGTTTCCCCGATTTGAGCAGTGGGACCACTCTCCCCATCTTCCATATGTCTGGAATGACGAGAGTGGCCATAGACAAGTTGAGGACCTCCGTTAGGTACGCTACTCCCGCAGGACCCAAATTTTTCAGCATCAACATGCATATTCCGTCGGGTCCAATGGCTTTGGAGGCTTCCGCCATCCCGATGGCTACCCTTGCCTCACCGCTGGTGAAAACAAGAGGCGCACTAGGTTTTGGCATTTTGTGCAGCCTTCTGGTCACTCGAAGTTTGGCTTTATCCACCGGAGGATGCAGAATAAACTGCCGGCTAAAATAGCTCGCGCATCGCTCCGGGTCCGACGAGGCGTGGTCACCAAAGTTAAGTGAAAGCAGAAGAAGAGCGGAAGAAGAACAAGAATAAATGTCAAAAGCCGACATTTGTTGAATTGATTGATAGTAAACATAAGTAAAATGAGTGGAAATCAAAATATTAAGGATGAACTGGACTGTATAAGTGCTTGTGTTTAAGCAAAGAGTTTAAAACTGTTTTATAAATTGTATAATGTTTACAAGTGGTATGCAACTGTGCAACAACGGTTCACTTGCAAGTTTTTGTTAGTTTTTAACTTGTTTTTGGGTTCAATAACTTTTTCTGCTAGTTTACTCTTCTCAATTTTACGATCTATTTTCATTTTTGCTCTCGCTGCAATTTTTCACTGGAAAAGTTACTAACCTAACTATTATTTAACCGTATTCCTTGGACTAGAACTAATAAAACTCAAAAAATAAAAATTCGGTCAGAGCGATAGAGTAACACTGCAAAGTACTGTAAAAAATAAAAATTCGCTCAGAGCGAGAGAGAGGATCGCTTTCATAGTGGAATTTTCGGCGAAATGGCAACGTTGCGAACAAAGTTGTATGAACGACTTATCGCAACTCCGGATTGCAAATGTAAAATTTTTTAAAAATGCCGCACGTAAGTGAAAAAGAAACGTTTTTAAAATTTTATTCCGAAGCCGCCTCAATTTATATACTTTTACTTAAAA